GAAAGGAGAGGGACAGCTGGGTGGCAGGATAAAGGGTTTTGATTGCAAGTTCCCCAAGGTCAGTCACACCTGGTTTCCTGGTGTCCAGGTACCGTGTATCTGGCCCGGCCTAGAGCAGGAGCCATTCGTGTTTGCTGAGTGACTAAGTGATGGGCGATAGAAGTAGCAATGGAATGTGGAGCTGAAAAAACTCTGGGGCTGGGGGAGCTGAGCCCCAGTCGAGACATTTTCTCAAGTGCCCCTGAGTCAGGATGGGAGAAGCTGGAGTGGGAGCCGGGCAGCTGGGCCATGGCAGTGGGAGGGTGTATTCTAGGCCCACCTGTGGGGTTCCGGGGGGGGCGTAGGCAGCATAGGGTGGCACCACATCAGGCCCCCCCTGCTCCCCAGTCAGGTTCTCTTCGCTCTGGCGGCAGGAGAAGAGGATGGTCCCATTGGGACCCACTGTGGAAGGGGGGCAGTGTTAGGAGCTTACCATCGAGCCTGCAACCAAGGGACCAGGTACATGCTCGAGGTATGTGCCCGAGGTATTGCCCGTGGGCCCCAAAGCTCCCCACCCCACAGGCATCCCTCAGCCAGCGAGGCGGGACCTCACCAATGGCCACGTGGTTCGGCTGCTCCTGGCTGGGGAAGGACAGCAGCACTTCGTAGGTGGATGCCTCCGCCGAGTCCAGACCTGACTCTGGGTCCCGCCAGCGCCGCAGCAGCAGCTGCACCAGCGCCTCGTCCTGGGGGCTGGAGGCCAGGTGTGGCTCCTTGGAGAGCTCTCTGCAGGGTGGGCAGAGGGGGGCAGGCCCAGGGTCAGGGCAGGGCCTCTGGCAAACAGAAGGGGCCGGTAGAAAGGCCTCTCACCTAAGATTCTCCCGGATCCTGCTGGCGTCCAGCTGCCCCATGATGGTCTCAAGGATCTCTGGGTCCAGGTCCTGGGAGGCTGAGGCACTGGGTGCTGGCGGGTTGGCTCCCTTGGGGATGGCAAAGTGGCCCAGGATGATCCCTAGCCCCAAGAGGGCCGCGGCCCCCGCCACCCCCCCAAGCACCTTCCCCCACTGCATCCTGCGGAGTCTTGGCCAGCTCGGGTGGCTTCTTATAGACGGGGTGTCAGGCCTAGT